TTTTACCCCCTTGAGGGTGGAAATTATCAAAATCCTTTCTTAGCGGATGCCTACGTCATAACATCTATCTGTATGCCAAATTTTAGCCCAATCTGTCCAGCGGTTCGGGCTGTGCGTTGATAGATCACTATGTCAGTCAGTCAGTCAGTCAATCACCTTTGAATTTTATATATATAGATTTCACATCATGCCCTGATTTTTTTTTATAAAAATAGCGAATGTTTTTTTTTTCTTTTAAATCAGCCAAGTTCAACCAAAAGCAATGAATGCTTATGACAGATATACATACAGTTATTAATAACAGTAACAGTTATAATCAACTGTCTGTAAATAGCTACCAATTTAGACCAAAAATATATAGGTACGGTATCCAAGTCACCTTATTAAAATTCATCATTGTCGGCTGGTTTTGATACAAAAATGTAACGGCACAATATCACTCCAAAATCTGGTAGATAGGTCAATGTTGAAAATCAATCGATCGATAACAGCTAAGGACGAAACTACGAAAATAAATTTTCGTCTTTGGCATGTCACATCACTAATCATACACACCAAGAGATGTTTTTGTCGTGGCTCGAATATTGCATTGCATTGCGCCAGTTGACTTGAACAGTTGTACGCAGATCATCGCTTGGACCAGACTGATCAACCCTTTGGAGCCGGAGTCCTTAGGTGCAGGTAGGTTTCGCATACCATTTTGTTTGGTTGTTTAAATCAATTATTACATTTGATTATTAATAACTTCATACAATACGCTACTTAGTATTTAGTGATTAATGTGGTAGGTATCAGTCATCAGTTCAGTGGTATCAGTTTAACATAGGAAAGTGACTCATTGGTTATAGGATTACAAACGCAATTCATAAAGAGGGATAGCTACCGATCTAGTATATTTATATTTTTAGTATTTCTGTTTTCTTTTTGCCAATAATGCATTGCATTGCGCAGATAGGTACTTTCTTATGGACTGTTAACGAAATTGTATAAATATTTTTCGATCATTTCAGTTTCATTTACTCAACTACCTATCTACATATAATTATAACTAGTTAGGTAGTTTGTTAACTAATATGTTAGACACTAAGTAAGGCGTTCAACTAGGCAAACTACATCCTGCCTGGGCAGCCATATTGTTTAACTTATTATGGCTTATTTGTTGTACCTATTAATAATTTATTATTGTATCGGCTCTGCTTGAGGGCTATGAAGTCATATAGAGCATTTTCTAAAAACATCAAGTGCAAAATATAGCTAAGTAAATATAGGTACCTAAACATATTCAGCGTAGGTACTTGTTTTCTCTGTAATTGTACCGGTACCGCGGTGAATGGTACTTGGGGTTAGGATAGTCTAAAATATTCCCTGGCAATAAATAGACAATAATATCATGTATTTATTTGCGATAAGAAGGTATCTACAAATTGCAAATGGGTAAGTTTGAATTAATAACTATGTTTCTAAATTCGATGTGAAATGTTTGAACCAAGTTAGCCAAGGACTAGGACATCTGTTCGTACTAAATAGTACCTACCTATTTATTGCTGTATGTTTTTTTATTTTCTTTCTTTGCTGTCTAATGTAGCTACTAGGACTGTACCCATTTGACAGAAACCGGGCAGCAAATCTCTGTAATAAAAATCTTTTTTACTTGTGATCTCCACTCCGATCCGTTACCCGCCTGCCAATGGAAAGTAAACTCTCTTTAAACATAATGTAGAGAAGGCCCATGCATCGGTCCAATAGTGGACTCGGGACTGCCACGGACTGTTGATGTAGAAAGTCTATAAATCGATGTCTGTTGGTAGCTCTGTTATCTAGTACATTTTATCAATGCAAAAATGTGTTATCTTCGAGTAGATTTATATCAAGGTACTCTAATTACTGCATCCGATATCACATTGACTATTGTAATTTATAAGGTAATTTTTATTACGCACACGTCTGTTAGTATGTGTCATTATTGTTACTGTACCAATTTCTAACCTAACCTAACCTCTAAACCTTATAAAACTTTATACTTAGGTATTTATAATAGTTACATACATGTATAGCGCGGTTTCGGTGTTGTTCGGTCCCTAATGATCGTAGCGTAATTTTTATAGCCTTCTTCGATAAATGGGCTATCGAGCACAAACATAATTACTTATACAACAAACTAAGGCTTTTTTTAAGGGGTGAAAATCATCAAATGACTTCTCCCGCTTGGGTGAGGCGGAAGGGAATGTCAGAGTCGGACTCTTACTGACTAAAAACCACCCCGTTCCTACTCCTGCACTTCGAGGCGGCGCCCCAGTAACCCGTTTGGTTCTTCGCGGCTCCGTATCGGCAACAGCCCTATTGGGCCCCATTCGTGGTGGTCTGATGGCTCTTTGAGACGCGCGCGGAACGCGACGCGCCGTACGCTCTGAAACAAACAAAGGCTACGTAGGCATGACCACATATATGTACATGTACAATAGATGCCTATGTTGTAAGTAGGTACGATAGTGTCTACACATAGGTAGGTACTATACAATTACACAGAACAAAGACTAATCTTTGTTCTAAAAATTTTATCGAATAAGTACCTACATATCACAAAGAGACTTATAGGTACCTACCCTATTTTTAATAAAACGCCTGTGCTTGTGTTCAAAATATATTCGACAAAACCGTTTGAAATGCTACAGTTTCTAAGTACAAACATACATAAATAAAGTAATGTGCTTATAAAAATAATTAAGTAATACAAAACCGTTTGTTTTTATAATAGGTAGGCAACTATTGTAAGAACAAAATTGATTAAAAGATGCGAGTTATTTTTTGTTTATTAATGAAGCAGTTTATGTAGTAATTAGTAAGAAGGTTTTTTCCTCGGGATTATAAACGTTTAAACAGCAATATGTTTAGCAGAAAAGTGTTACTACTGTTTGAATGACAAGAAAGTCAAGACTGTATTAATGTTGATCGTATTAATATTTTTACTAATAATTAATTTTGACATTTTTAATATGAATTGTAATTAGAATTACTATAAATTGAATTTGTACGTCCCTAAGGGCAAGCCATGTATTGGACACTGATTTTAAACAATGAACATGCATGCTTTTGTATGAATGACACATGTTTATGCAAATAAATTGTCTTTAACTTCAGTAAGCTTTGTGTAAACAGTAAACCTTTTAAACCGACATCAAAAAGAAAAATAAAGAGGTTCTCAGTTTGACCCGTGTGTGCCGGCTGTATGTTTATTTGTTTGTCCGCGGTTATGTCACGATCGACTGAACTGATTTTGATGCGGTTTTCAGAAATGTTTATTACATTTAGGAGAAGGTTTTAGTATATTCATTAGCGATTTAAAAAAAAAGGGGGGTGGTTAAAGTCGGTTTTTTAACGCAATTTATAAAAGTATTATTATAGGTATACCTAGCGTTTAAGTAGATAAGATTCCTTTACAATTTTAATAACTAAATGAGTCGGGAAACAATCTTAGGCAATCTCAGCATGAGGGGTTGTAATAATGCGGCCATGTTATTTCTAACGTACCTATTTTTTTTTAAAGGGGATTTACTGCTCCCGCCTGGGTGAGGCGGAAGGAGTGTCAGACTCTTACTGACTAAAACACACCCCGTTCCTTCTCCTGCACGTCGAGCCGGAGCCCCGGTTACCCGTTAGGTTCTCCGCGACTCCGAATCGGCATCGGCCCTATTGGGCCCCATCTGTGGTGGTCTGATGGCTCTTTGAGGCGCGCGTCCGCTCGAGTCTGTTTCTGGTCGGACGGGGAGCCACCCATGCTCGCCGTCCGCAGACCCGCACTTACGGTGGCCGGAGATCGTCCCGCGATCCCCGACGCCCGGTGTGTCCTTCGCGATGGCTGGGTTGCGAGGAGGCAGCGCTTCGCTGCCTCACGCTTCGCGCCTACTCCTTAGCTAGCATGACTGCTTCGCAAAAGGAGGAGACGGCATCCCAGTCCCCCTCGCTCCGCATCATGGCCTGCACTAGGCCCGGACGCGAGAGGTCGCCATCGCCGATCACTTCCCTGAGGGCACGGCGGTGCTCAGCCCACGCAGGGCATTCTCCCACTGTGTGTTCCACCGTGTCCTCAGGGCGGTCCTCGCAGTGATGACACCCGGGCGTTTCATCATCATCATCATCAACAGCCTATAAATGCCCACTGCTGAGCAAAGCCTCTTCTCACACGGAGAAGGTGAGAGCATTAATCACCACGCTTGCTCAATGCGGGTTGGCGATTTCAAACTTATAATTAGAAATTATAAGTCCAGGTTTCCTCACGATGTTTTTCCTTCACCGTTTGTCAGTGGTGTCTAAATAATCTTAGAAAGTACATATAACTCGGAAAAAGTCAGATTGGTACTTGCCGTTGGTAGGTTTCGAACCCGCACCCTCAAGCATGAGAAGTGGGCGTCTTAAACCTCCGGGCTACCACGACACCCGGGCGTTTCCTCCCGCCCAACAGACACAGGTACTTCCCGAAACTTCCATGTCCGGTAAGGACCTGCGTCAGGCGGTAGGTGAGGACGCCGTAGCGTCTCTCAAGCCACTCCTCAAAGAGGGGACTTACCGCTGCAATGGCAGCGAGCCCAGCCCTCGGTTGCGACAGTCGTTGCTGCCATTCCGCCATGAGATCGCGCCGGAGCTCATCCCGCCAAGCACTTATCTGGTGCGGCAGAGGAGTTTCGCCCCGGCGACGTGCCTCCGCGCAAATGTGCGCAGATCCCACGGCGGTAATCCGGCAAGGAGGTTCGCCGACTCCCCGGAGATCGTGCGGTATCCGCGGATCATTCGGATCGCCATGACCCTCTGTGACATGAGCAGCATCCGAGTGGGACGCCGCAGCATGTTCGGCGCCCACACAGGGGCGCTGTAGAGGGCCATGGACCGCACGACCCCGGCGTATAACCTCCGGCAGGAGTTCTAATGTACCTATGTATGTATTTTCGCAAAAAAGGGTTATAAATTTTAATTTTAATAAATTTCAGAAGCAGTACACGTGTGGCATGGAAGACATGGAAGAGGACAGCCAGCCAGGTAAAATTGTTTTTACTTACTGTTTCCTGTCACTTTAATGTATAAACATGTAAACATTCTCGGTCGAGATTATTCATAGAACCAATGATAATGGAACAGGATACGAACGAAATGATTTCTTGTATAATCATTTATACAAGAAATCATTTCGTTCGTATCCTGTAATTCTGCCTAATTTTGTGGAACATTTATAGCCTTGTTTATTCCGCAGTGATCACCGAAACAGCCACATGGCTATATATTTAGATTTTTTAAAGAAGTGCATTTCAAATTTCAGGTCCTTCAAATTGGCGAAGAAGAAATGGTCCTAGAAATCCGCACCATAACTGGAGTGCTCAAAGGTCGATGTATTCAACAACCGCATTCAGCCATTCGACACCCAATCTTCACAATCGCTCACAAAGACGACACGTTCATGGACAGACGCGGCGCGAGCGCGATCATAGTATGTAATTATTTGTTAAGTACCTACTTATATGTATTTTCTATTTCTTACAGTCTATTCTAAAACTTAGTTTTACATTCTATAATTCTTGGAATGTTTACAAAATCACATCATTTTCGTACTATTTATACATTTATTTTGTGTCACATTTTTTTACGATTACCTATATGTATGTATACATTATAAATAATGTACAAATTTCCATTTTAAGGTTCGAATAGACAACAATTGATATTCAACAACGCACGCCTAGTTCCAGCACCAGGTCCAGGATCGGCATTTAACAACGCACACCAAGATCGAGGTCCTAGACCCTCTGCGAGTACGGAAGGTTCGGGAGGAAGCAATAACACGAGATCTAATCGATCGAACCGGGGCTTTCAATCCAATAATAACAAGCGATTCTTGGGATTTATAGCTTTACAAGAAATAGCAGAATCCGAAGAGAAGGATGTGCTTCAGAAAATAAATGATAAACGCGAAGGTTTTATGAACATTATTAATGCACCCATCGAGAAGCACGATGTTTTTGTATTGGTTGTTGGAATTCTGTCAAAAGTAACCCAATCACCGTTTGTTGAATTAAAATCAAAATTATTGTTTGACGTTTGTAATTCAGATTTCATTAATAAGTTACAGTCGTATTTAGTGGCTTTACCTTTTGTGAGCAATAAGGCTACCAATAATTTGTATTGGAAGGATCAAAGCCAGTTTTGGAAGAACTTGATAACATTTTGCGGTGATATAGTCGATACGTCACCAGCTACGGCTATCAGGCGATTTAAACCGCTTATAGAGGGTGTGATGAAAATGTGTTTGGAAAGTTTACATGATAAGTACGGACTTGTGCTATCTGAAGACTGTATCATGAAGTTAGATGAAATTCGCCAGAAGATGATTGCATACGAAGACAGATATCAGGTGGGTATTAATCGAACTTCATGTAAAAATGAATGATAATAAAAGTTTTTATTTTATTAACTAGGGATAGTTAATAAAATAAAAACTTATTATCTAAGTAGAACTTTGTAGTAATCGCCGCGGGCCTTTGTGAAACGCGAGGTCTTCGTAAAGTAGTACAATTTTTTTGGAATTACGCATCTTCTGTCACCTATCGCCTTTCGTATAGTAAGTACTTAGTACTTAAGTAAGCTTTAAAGGGTTAGGATTTCCGGTAAGGTAAAAACACAACGTAAGTTTTGTCGCCGGTTTTGAGGCCACTCCAAGTCCAAGCTGCTTTCTTCTTTATGATTGAGAGCAGCGATGTTCTTTTATTTGTCGCTTTGTTGCAGTCGACATCGACAGGGAAGAGAGAAGGGAACAATTGTGAGTTTGCGGATTTGCAACCTCCGGATAATTTCCGTGATTTAAGCGTGGTACCGACAAAAGACGACTTGTTGGGGTCGCAACCGTTCTTACGAGCAAACATCGTCGAGGGCGGCTATACGGATGTGGAACATTACTTAGATGTACAGTTCCGACTTCTCCGAGAAGATTGCTTTGGTCCATTCCGAGATGGTTTGCGTAAGTATCAAATAGTCTATGCAGCTGGTTAGTTGGTTACATAAGTAGCCTGTAAGTTTAATTAAATGTTCTATGTGCTTATGTTCTTTTGTTTTTCTTTGTATAACTTATTTTACGGTTATTAAGGGATTACGTGTACCTAATAGTTAATGTTAATGAAAATTATAGTAGTTTTTAAGTTTACTTATAATGTAAACTTATTTGCATTTATTGTATTAGGTGTGCCTGTGATGATAAATGTAATGTTTAAATAGAAATAAATAAATTATGGCACGATAATTCTTGCTTCAGTTGGCCTTTGTAGCAAAATTCATCTAGAGTTGACGATTGAATATTTGTATCAAAGAACTAATGTTACATTTTAAATCATGCCATTATGTCTAGTATGCATAGGTACACCTAGAGATACGGCAGCCAGACTATATGCTACTACAGATTCATTAAAAATATATATTTAGTTAAAAAGTTATTTGAAAGGAATTAATTTTTATTTTAACAGATCAGTTTTTGGCAGACCCTAATAGAAAAAAATACGATCACATTCGGTGAGTACTAGTGTGCTATATTTTATAATTTGTATGATTGTTCGTTTTTAAAATGTAGATATTGTAAGTACCTATATTCAATCATATTTAGGTACCTACTATACTACTACAACAATTTATATTCTTCGATAATTATGATTAACAATTTTATTATTAATCATTTATTTATTTATTTTAGAGTTTTTCACAACGTACGATTTGTGTGCCCTTACATTGACAATTTAAGAACTGGTGCTTTAGCACAAATCGATATGAAAAAAAACAAAAATTTCCGCAAAATTAATTGGAAAAACAGCAAGAGATTCCTGTTCGGTTCTTTGGTGTTATTCACAAAAGATAATTTTAATACTTTTATGGCTGCTACTATCCTGAATCGAGATGCCAACCTCCTTTCGTGTGGGAAGGTGAGTTTTGCAATATTAGACATTAGTTCTTACTGGCAGTCTATTTGCTGGCACCCACTCGTCATACTTATGACCTACCTTACTACTACCCGTATACCTACATAGGTATATTTTATTTATCTTTGTTCACCATGAATAGATAAGTTTCTTTTAACGCATCTGAAACTTAATTAACGTAGTCGAGAGTCAAAAGTCAATATCAAATATTTAAGGTTACTTCAAGGGTGTCTCACACAGAGTACCTACCTATTTTTAATTTCGGACACAGCGAATTAATTTCGAAAAATTTGAAAAGTTGACTACGTCATACACACCAGGCGGCCGACGCCGACGCGGGCTTTCAGGCGACGGACGTACCTAGCCAATTTCAGCAGTTATGGTTCACCCACTTTCGCGACATGTCAGCATTCCGCTGATGTGCGTCATCACTAATATAGTTGAGTTTTAAGTTCGTCACGTTTAACATAGAGCTTCTTCTTACGTCCTCTTCGTACCTTGGTGGTCTCACAGTAGGCCTATAGTCCACATCGACCTGTTCTCAGCCAATATCTCCTACTGTGACTCAACTGCTCCAAACCATCTAAGCACATCTTTATTTAGAAGAGTTGTTTGCCATCCTGTAGTGCTGAAAAAAAGGTGCGCTTCGCTACTTTGTCGTGAGACATCCGATAAGTATAGATGGCTTAGAACCTCAGAGAAAGCCATCATGTTATTCACAAATTGTTGTTTTGTCGTCTGGTAAATTAGACAGATACATACAATCAAATACCCTCTAACTCTTCTAATTAGACTAACATTTAACACTTTGATAGAAACTTAACCAAAAGTTGTAATGTAAAACAAGACCTTAGGTATAAAGTATTTTACTGTCTGTTACGTAAACAGGTAAGAGTCTCCCAATCAATAAGCTGGACTGCTCAGCGAGTGCTAATACACCAACTCAGTGTAATGAAATAGCAACTTATTAATTATTATTGTGTTTACTTTATTTCAGTTACCAGTTTCAATTATAGATGTGAATCTAGATGATAGTATCTACAACGGAGAAATGTATACTATGGTCGAAAGTGAAGTTTATTTTGAACCTTATTACCACGTAATGAAAGCTCTGCAAGAACCCTCATTTCCACAACATTTGGCTATGCAACAGTACATAGTCAAAGTAGCTGTAAGTATCATTTACATATTTATTCTTTGTCAGCCAAGAAAATTTTGAAAATTTTCTTCAAGTAGGTATAGAGTATTGTTTACGTTACTCCTCGAAATAGATAGTAGATAGATAGTATAAGTACCTACCTATTGTACCTATCAAATTTTGTATAATATATAGCATTTAACCTATTGATTACCTTTCAGCCTACTTTGAATCCTCCTGCTTATTTAACTATAAATACTAAGTTTGAAATTCCAAATAACCAATTAACTCCAGGAAAGGATCCAGTTGTATTTACAAAAAGGAATGATGACATACCATTTGAATTCGATTTCGACCCAAACGACTCTGATGAAATAGATGGACGGAAGGATAATGAACAGTTAAAAAAGACATTTACTGTTTTACAACCGAATACTTGGCCAACGATGGAAGATTTAAATTTAAACAAAAGTCAGTACGAGGCTTATTATTTAGCTCTTACCCAGGAATTTGCCGTTATCCAAGGGCCACCAGGGACGGGTAAAACGTTCATCGGCATACAAGTTGCGAAAACATTGTTAAATAATGTTCAATCCAACGGAGAATGTTTAATGCTGATTATATGTTACACCAATCACGCGTTGGATCAATTTCTTGAAGCAATATCCCAAGTAACAAGATCTATAGTTCGAATTGGAGGGCAGTCTCGTAACAAAGCTCTGGACCAGTTTAACTTGGTTAATTTAAGACGAAGTGCTTTAGTACCCTCTGCTTCTGCGTCTCATAGATTTTTCATCGAGCAAAAAAATCTAGTAAGAAGGTCAATATACGAACTTCAGTCGGCTCTCAAGACACTCGATGTTATAAATAATGGGGTTCTTAGTTACCGCTGTCTGAATATTCCACCTCTAGAACTGCTTTATGAGTATTATCAGAATCGAGGAAAAGAATTGGAAGACCCACTAGAATATTGGTTGTTTGAACGGCTTTCAAACAGTTATGAGTACTACAGAGACCTGGAGGATTGTCTATTAGAATATGAGACTGTAGTGGATACTGAAGAGGAAATCGATGATCGAAGGGAGCGTATGGTTTTGGATGACGAGAAACTAGTCTCAGATGTTTTAGAACAAGCAAAGGCTTCATTTTTGTTATCCAATGCCAAATCTGAAATGAGAGAGTTAGTTGCAAATTACAAAAAATGTTCAGATATCAATGAAAAATATTTTCTATCAAACTCCATACAGAATCTTGATGCTCGAATTAATTTATTTAATGTAAGTATACTGTTATTATTGTATTTTGTTCGTAAGACGTTCAAGATATGCACAAGGCACAATGGGTGCGCAGCGTATCATGAGTCGTGGATTCAATATTGTGCGAGTATTATCCACAAGTTTTGGTTTGGGTGTTGAGAGGTACGACGTATGTGTGAATATTTGTGTAATCCTTACTAATATTATAAATCGGAAAGTGAGTTTGTTTGTTTGTTCCACTTTCACGCTGTAACTACTAAACCGATTGCTTTGAATTTTTGCAGACGTAAAGTTAGAAGTCCGGATTAAATAATAGGGTACTTTTTAACCTGGAAAAATTGATATTCCCGAGGTAAAACCAAAGTATTGGTATAGATGGCGCTGTGTGTATTGTTAAATGTCACATAGGCTACTTTTATCCTTTTGTGACGCGAGCGAAGCTGCGGGTAAAAGCTAGTATTATATAATGCACCCACGATAGAGGTAATCTTAGTGTGAGATAAACAAACAAGGGATAGATAAGTAGGTACATCCTGATTCATGTCTGTTAGTAGGTAAGTAAGTCTCTGTGACGAAAACCTATTTACAAGAACAAACCCTTTTTTAGGATATGGTTACTTATCGTCATCGCGAAGTCGTTTTGCATATAAATGAAAGAACAAATTTTTCGGAAATAACAGTACAGAACCGATGGTGTCTATATTTCACATGGATAAGACAAAAAATGGATGAAGTTAAAGAGGAAATAGCAAATTTACAAGTAAGTACCTGAATATCTTATGTTATATTGTTCTCACTGTTTCTCTCTCTCGTTTTCCAAGACTCGATCGAACTCGCACCTACTAGGTGTGAAGATTACTTACAGAAACCAGCTTACTCAGGCCCGCCGCTAGCTATACGAGCGCCCGCGTGCAAACACAGATGATGCCGCCCCTCTTTTTGTTGGGTGGGTAAAAAGTCATCAAATGACTCCCGAGGAAGTCACTCTTACAACTCTTACTAAAAACCTCCCCATTCCTTCCAACACTTATTCAAAGCCAGGGCCTCATTACCCATATGACAACCTACCCTCCAGCAAGGCAACAATCCTGGTGGGCCCCGTCTATGGTGGCCTGAAGGCTCTTTTAAGCATTTTACGCGACGCGCCATACACTCGGGTCTGATACTTGTCAGGTGGGGAGCTAACCTTATGGTGGCCGGAGATCACGACAACGCGACGCGATACTACACCCAAAGCGTCTCCTGCTACATCTCGAAAATGATAGAGGATAAGTACTCGATAGATTTCGAGTAACTCTAGAAAGTGATCGAGGACGCTTGATAGTTTTTGAGAACCTTTCGAAAATGACCGAGGACGCTCGATAGATTTCGAGTAACTCTTGAAAGTGATCGAGGGCGGTCGTTGGTTTTCGAGGACACTCGATGGTTGTCGAGTAACTTTATATACTCATAAATTATTAAATTGAAATAAATAAATTATGTTACGTAGTACGGCTCACCCACCCACGTAACTTTTTTAAGAAACAACTCATCTGTGCGACTTTAGTGACATGAGCCAAGGGCTCAAATTGATTGTGGCTTGAAATTAGTTGAGTTATCTTGTCAAACGGTAACGTTAGTAAACCGTTAAAATATTTGAAGTTTATTATGTATTAAGCTAGTTGCTAATAAGCTATAAATAGGGTGTAATATAAACATAACATCTTTAATAATTTTATTGTAGGCAGCAGTTACGCCAGCACTGACCGCTTATGATGAAGCTAGAATGATGGTGGACGTCCAATTAATAAAAAATAGGAAGACTAAAGTAGTAGGCATGACTACTAGTGGCGCAGCAAGGATGCGAAAACTGTTACAAACGATTGCACCAAAAATTGGTAAACCTGTAAAACAATTAAATTACTTTTATAGAATTTAAAAACGAGCAGAAGATCATCTTGTTTGTACTTAATAGGATGGCGTATGGAATTGGGGGAATTAGGCCTCCGATAATCTTAATCATACTGCAAAACAACGCAAGCGTCGTTTCACGTCGGTTTTCTTGGAGCTGTGGAGTACCACATGGCGTCCCAAAGCATGGCTGTCCCATATGTGACAGCTTAATTATTTGACGCACATTTGCATATTTAAGAACGTTTAAGGGAAATTTAATTCTAAAATAATCAAGTTAGACATTATTTTCTGGACTAGAATATTTAGGTAACCGAATAATACAGGGTGGGCCATTTGATTTTGAAGTATGTAGAAACAAAGCTATCTTACATTATTATTATCATTCAAATAATATCCTTTGTTTCTCAGTAATAGTGGAGGAAGCTGCAGAAGTGTTGGAACAGCACATAATAACCTCACTTACAAAGGATTGCCAACATTTCATTCTTATTGGTAAGTGCTATTATTCTTATCCACTTACTTTACAAATAAATGCAACTGCAATGGTGCTAGGCCAGTTCTTTTTTTTGCAAAAACCAACCGACAAAGCTATCAATTAGGCATTGTTAGTATTGTTAACAACACATAAGTACAACTATAATGGTGTTATTTTTTGGGCAGGCGATCATCAGCAACTACGGCCGTCGGCGTCTCACATAAAGCTGGCAAAACGATACAACATTGAGGTGTCATTGTTTGAACGAATGATAACAAACGGGATACATAGTCGTCGTCTGAATGTGCAACACCGCATGCGGCCTGAGATCGCCGCTCTCATTTCTCCTCATATATACAAAGACTTAGCGAACCACCCGTCTGTTGAAACGTTCAAAAATGTGCCAGGTGTAGAAAAAAACGTTTACTTCTTTACACACGACTATCAAGAACACGTAAGTAAAAGTATAATTGCTATTTATTGTAATGGCTATTCCTTTAACGTTTTCTGACATTTGTTGTAACTAGGTTCTTTATTTTCTTGTTTCCAGGTTTTAAATGAAGGTAACAGTCGAGAAAATCGCAAAGAAGGGGACATGGCATTGGCTTTGGCGAATTATCTAATGCAACAAGGCTTTACCTCTGATGACATCACAATTCTTGCGGCTTATTCGGGACAAATGTTTTACATGAAAAAAGTATGACTTTTTGTACCTACTCAAATAATTTGGTTACGTTACCAGTTCATCATCATCATCAACAGCCTATAAATGCCCACTGTTGAGCAAAGCCTCTTCTCACTCGGAGAAGGTTTGAGCATTAATTACCACGCTTGCTGAATGCGGGTTGGCGATTACAAACTTATAATTAGAAATTATAAGCCCAGGTTTCCTCACGATGTTTTCCTTCACCGTTTGTCAGTGGTGTCTGAATAATCTTAGAAAGTACATATAACTCGGAAAAAGTCACATTGGTACTTGCCGTTGGTAAGTTTCGAACCCGCACCCTCAAGCATGAGAAGCGGGCGTCTTAAACCTCCGGGCCACCACGACATTACATACCAGTTATCAGATAATTTTCAGCAGAAAGAATAATAATATATAAATAACGATTATCTATTACCTAAATTTTACAGGAACGCGAAAAATACGCAAGTTTATCACGAGTTAAAATAACAGTCGTCGATAATTATCAAGGAGAGGAATCTAGAATAATAATCCTGTCACTTGTACGAAACAACCCTGACAACCAAATTGGATTTCTTGGAACCGAGAACAGGGTTTGTGTGGCTCTTTCGCGTGCAAAAGAAGGTTAGCCAGTGATTTTCCTAATTCATTTACCTATTTACATTTTTTTTTTAAGGGCTGAAAATCATCGAATGACTGCTCCCGCCTGGGTGAGGCGGAAGGGAGTGTCAGACTCTTACTGACTAAAAACCACCCCGTTCCTTCTCCTACACGTCGAGCCGGAGCCCCGGTTACCCGTTAGGTTCTCCGCGACTACCTACTTACCATAGATCATGTTCTTTTATACCTAGGTACTTAGTAGTTGCACTTGCAACATCAGAAGAATCATGTAATCGTTGGATACTGGTTCATTGTGTCATCATTGTTGGAAAGAGGGCTCCCCAATCAAGTAGTGGATTAGGTATTCGGTATGACTAAACAAAACGCAGTGCCACTATGTCACCACTTGACGCTGGTACTCTGTGAGAGGGTGGCACTTCCCCAGGTCCAATCGGCCTATTTGATCTACATAGAGCAGCTTGGCTTTAAGACCGTACAGGATCACCATGCCTATATATAGTAACTCGGTAATGTTTTTAGGTTTTTACATATTCGGCAATATGAATATGCTGAAAGCAAAATCGGGACTGTGGAGAGAAATTGCAACGACTCTGGAAAATAACGGAACTTTGGGGTCGCAATTGATAATGAAATGTCAAAATCATCCTGAGCAAATGTTAAAGGCAAGTATAAACATAACATCATAACATCACGCCTTTTATCCCCGTAGAGTGGGGTAGGCAGAGGTGCTCATTATGCGACTACACAATGTAACACCCACTTTTCACTATTTATGTTACGAGTCCAATGTAATAGGGGGTGAGCCTATTGCCATATACCGGACATAGTTCCAGACTTCTTGCTACTACTCAGAATTTTTAAAAAACCCAGTAACACTTTGCCCGACCCGGGGATCGAACCCGAGACCCCTTGCTCAACAGTCGCAATTACGACCACTCAGCCAACGAGGCAGTCAAACAATAATAACGGTTTATTGCAATATTTACAGCTTTCTACCCCGGAGGATTTCGAGAGGTTACCCCCAGAAGGAGGATGTTACGAAAAATGCAATTTCCAATATCATTGCGGTCACAAGTGTCAACTTTACTGCCACGGCTACGATCGCGAACATGTTAAAACGAAATGTACTATGAAATGTGAAAGGCAAGTACTTACCTAGGTCCTTAAGTTCAATATTAATAGGTACTCTTGATAGTACAAAAAATAAAAATAAATTAATTTTTCCAAGTATGTACGGTCAAAGGTCAAAAGTCGACTGCCCCCGTAAGACTACTATCGGTTGCGCTGCAGCGCTTATGATACACACTTGCACACACATACTTTTATCCGTGTGCGTACGCGGGCGTGTGTTTATGCGTACGCACGCGTTTTCATGCACATTAATATGAAATTACTTACGCATTGCCGTGTGAACATAACTCACGGTGGCAGTGGACTTTTGACCTTTGACTGTACAAAACTAAATTGAAAAAAAAATAACTATTTTTGTGTTAAAGGGTTCTATGCGAGCGTGGTCATGTGTGTCCATTGAAATGTAAGCAAGATTGTGAACCATGCAAAGTTTACATAATGAAGACCCTGCCATGTGGGCACGAAATGAATGTCTACTGCCATCGTGAACCTGAAGACCCAAGAAACCAATGCATGACAAAAGTTGAGGTTATACTGCCGGATTGTCAACATAAGGTACATTGTCTTTAAAATATAAATATATAGGCATGTCCCCGCCTGCATCAGGATCGGCCATTGCGTGGGTATTTGGGCATATAATAAGATAAAACACCGAGTCACACAATGTAATTTCTTTTTAATCACTAATTTAACTAACTTTATGAAAAATTATAAGATTTGCTGAACTTTGACGGTTCGTCGGAGATGTCTCGCCCACGCCATTCATAACCGTAGTCTGGTTCAAAAATATGGCGGCGCTGTTCTCGTCGACATGACGCTCCGTCAGAATGACTTCTGTGGGATGTTATCCTAGTTCCATAATTAATAATAGACGGTGCTGTGGCTGCGCCGTCAAATATCTTTGCAAAAGGTCCATAATCTACACCCCCTATAGGAAACAAATTAATATTCTCTTTTCAATTTTAAGGTCGCGTGGTAAACAAAGATCGAATAAAACAAAATTTTTGACCCAGTTCATATAAATTTGTGATTTTAATACCGAAGTACTTATTTTACAGGCACAGGTTGAATGTTACAAGGATATAAATAAAGTGAAATGTTTGGAGCCCTGCAAGTATCGTTTGGAGGAGTGTGGTCATGTTTGCGGACGCAAATGTCACGTTACTGACGACCCTAACCATGAGAGTGTAAGTTATGCATAGATAATAAATACCTATTAAGCCGTCGAGCGTCCGCGTTCCTTATGATCCAACGGGTGCACACGTGACATTGGGAGCATTTTTTCTTATGATCCACCGGGTGCTCATAAGGACGCTCGAAGGGTTATGAAGTATAAATTCGGAGTTAAAAACAAAAACATGCTTTTAATCATATTATGTCATCGTGATTAGGAGAAATGAACATATCTAATGAACCGAAATCTTCCAATTTTATGATGATACAACAATAATTAAGTAGGTACCTACTTACATATAAGTCTTAGTGTGTGTGTAATTAATATTCTTAGATCTTATTATTATATAGTTCGTTACAGGTTGACCTAATAAAAGGGTGGTATTTAAACCTACCTATAGTCCATCTGTTTAGGTAATTAACTAAAGGTAAACAAAGAAAACCACGTGACACAGAGATACTTAACCTACTATTACTTCAAATATTTCTCGTGTTTTAATTTTAACTAAATTCACTTTAAAATCGTTCATTTGTCATACACACACATACAAGTACAAATGCCTAAATCGTACAAGAGCCTAGCCTATGGGTGTATTTCATTTTCATGTTTAAATAGAAACTATTCTGAATCTGATGTACGGATTTCTTTCTTGTACGGATATGTGTCTTTAGGCCAAGTTTCTTCAATATATTTGAACACATTGATTACAAACGATGAATAACCTAAACTTAAATAACTTAATAACAAAAACAAAACAAAGAAACACGATAAATTCAACAAAATAGGAACGCGAGCGCAAACGACGAGAGAGCTGTCAATGGCGCCTGATTAACCGACTAAACGTAATACACGCTACTTTCATTGTCGCGCTACATCTTAGTTGTACTCTTTAATTTGACAACATTATTTTGGTTCGTTCTTATAGAAGGGTTTTGGATACCTGGGATTTTAGGGTCTTTATGGTGTCTATAGTAATGAAATATTATATTATTTAATAAATGTTATTAAATTAACATCCTCAAGCAGATATATATAATATTTACTAAGAAATAAGTGAAAAGGAACAGAAACATAACATTTAATAGAGAAAACTGTCGTAAAAAGGGAAACAATTTTATTTTCTTATGAAGTATTTTGAATCATGGAAATGTCAACTAAAAAGAACTCTTTTTATGGTTTGTTTACAAATAGTTAACTACCTAAACAGACGGAGTATAGTCCTATTTTAGCGAACGAATGAAATGAAAAAAAAATGGTTTACAATTGGTTTAAAATTACAATATAATGTAGAAAATTAGTTTACCTATTAAAAATATATTATAATATTGTTTCAGTACGTTTGCACTAAGCCCTGTGCTCGTGCAAAAGCGGGATGTACGGCGGAACTAATGGGAGATCGTGGTGACCATCAATGCCGCAACAAATGCCACGAAAAATGTGACACTTGTACCGTTCCAGTGTGTATTCCATTGTTTGATATATGTGTTTGATATATGTGTTTGATATATGTATTATGTTCCACTTAGTTTTTAGTCAAATTTCCGTGGTGCTTGGGCTTCACCCAGTTGTACAGTTTATTCTTTTTGCCTTTAGGCTTAATTCATTCTGTCTCCTGCAGTAATTCACCGAGGGAAGTGGCAACTCTTATACTTTTCTCTTCTTCTCTTATAATATCTTCTGATTCACTTCCAACCAAGACCAAGAGGAACCAAGACAGTTGCTCATATCTCTGGGACTTCAGTGTTCCGGTGTTTTCATAGTTGTATCTACTGTAGATCCTGGCTTACTGGAGTTGCAGTGGTTTTGGGAGGATGTGGCGGGTTTGTCCCAAATAAAAAAAAAAAATTTATTATGTGCAGTGTTCAGACTCTAACTCCATCTCCAAATAGATTTTCAGCTGTACCAGTTTTAAAATAAAGTTTGGGATCTATTGAACTTTTTGACAGACTGGTTCAGGTTGTTGAGCTGGACTACCTTTGTACCGAAATCTATCAACTAACCTTACTTTTATATACTACAAGCTTTTACCCGCGGCGTCGCTCGCGTCACAAAAGGATAAAAAGTAGCCTAAGTAACATATACCAATACATAAAGCGCCATCTATAACAATACTTCTGTTTTTCCTCGGGAATATAAATTTTTTCCGGGTTAAAAAGTACCCTATTATTTAATCCGGACTTCTAACTTTACGTCTGGAAAAAGCAATCGGTTGAGTAGTTGCGGCGTGAAGGTGGAACAAACAAACAAACAAACAAACTCACTTTGAGATTTATAATATTAGTAAAGATTAGTAAGGACTAGTAAGGATTTAGTAGGAAAGATCCTAAAGTACATCTGCAAGCAATACTAGAAACATTACTTGTGCGTTTCCGATCATACATGAAATTGTTGTCCCTGAAAATGATGGCGCAATTAAATGGGTTAATAATATCCTAAATTCATAATTGGGATGATGACAGAGTATAAAAATAAAAATCTAATTAGTCCGTAAGTTAGGTAATGAAAAAATATTAGACACGTATTTTTTTATTTTGTCGTATAATAGAACAATACTTGTCACGCGACATTTCAAATCAATATATCGTCGAAAGTATTCGTTTCCGTAAGAAAATAAAATACGTGTCTAATGATTTAAAAAAATGTAGGTACCAGACGGACATCAAAATAAAAATTAGGGTATCTACCCTATTCATTGTCTACCATACTGTAGGTACCTATTTACGTTAGTATTTTGTTAAGATGTCAAAAATGTGTTAAATGCACACGCCTACTTGTTTTTTTAACAATGAGTTGCCACTCGCCATCATCAAAAATAATTAATTATAATAATATTGTTTTGGTATGACAGGATAGGAACTAAATTGTAAAATATATACTTACAAATGTAATGTACTTACAGGTAAAGAAAAAAAGGTCGACTTGTAAGCATATGGAAACTGTAGCGTGCAACGTCGATATTGACAAAATGAAATGCCTTACGAAATGCGCTAGAATGATGACATGTGGACATTACTGCAAAAAGATTTGTTTCGAAGAATGCACAGACTGTTCACAAATGGTAAGCCATGTACAATCAAGGTTACATTTTTGGTCTACGCGAGACGCAGTGTGTTTTCTATTGTGTCTCATATACTGACATTCAAGCGGTTAATGCACTAAATTAAGTATTACTTACTAATACTTCATTTCTAGGTCTGGAAAGAACTTCCCGAATGTAAACATAAAGTAAAGGTGAAATGCATGGACACTCCCGATCGAAGTCTTTGCCCTGAGAAATGTATGCGTCTGCTTTTCTGTGGGCACCTGTGCAAAGACAGGTGCGCAGTGCCATGCGACATTACAAAGTGCACCGAGATTACATCTCAAGAGGTCCTTTCTCCTTGTGGTCACAAAGTCAAGCTTCCGTGTAATATGTCAAAATTGTACATAAAAGGTAAGAAATATAGGTACCTACCTAAGGCCCTGGCTACATAAATCGCCAGAACTATTCGTGACTAATACCTATTAATATTTTTAGCCAGTTAGAACTAATCTGTAACTACGCAAAAGACAAGCCATTTTCTTAACCCTTTGAGTAGGTCATTATAGACACAATTATAGAACAATAGGTTGCGGTCACCGGTGTCCTCGCGGTGTTTGACAGTTTAAATCGATAGAAAACCGAAAAAGATCTACAAGATGTAGGTTGATATGTAAGTACGGTGGCCAGCAGGTCAAACTATCATTTTCTGTCAAATTTCTCTATTACATCTTCAACTTTGTAATATTGACATGAAGTCGAAAATCTATAGTCAGAATTTTAATTAGATTCCAGATTTGACAATAGCTACTGTCATTTTGTGAAATAATGATACCACATATAATAGTGTAGTGATGCACACAAAAATCGATAAACAATCAGTGTGTGTGTTTTATAATAAACTAGCTTCTGCCCGCGACTTCGTACGCGCAATCCCATTTTCCCCCGTTCCCGTTCGTGATTTTCGGTAAAAGGAAAAAAAAAATTAGGTAAAAAGTATCCTATGTCCGTCACCTGGTTCTAAACTACATCCCCATCAATTTTCATCTAAATCGATTTAGTCGTTCTTGAGTTATAAATAGTGTAACTAACACGACTTTCTTTTATATATATAGATGTAACAGAAAGTGACAGGATAGCGATAGCGATGACGGCGACAATTTATAAAATAACTTATTACCATTATACATCTATCTGTTTTATTTGTCATGTTCCTTCATGATTACATTTTTTTATTTATTTCACACACAATTATAAAAGAAACGTCTCAGATCGTTAATTAATCGTCAAAACTAAATTATCGGTTCAGAAATATTTAATTTCCTGATATACTTAGTTCACCAGATAATTATTATAAACGAGAAGAATCGATCCAGAAATATTGCATTTCCATATCGAATAATTTCGCAACGTCACTATTTAGTACTTGTCATAACGTTGCCACACTGAAATTGTCAAATCTGGAATCGAATTAAAATTCCGAGTATAATAAATAAATTTGACAGATTGGAGTGGGTCGATCTACTGGCTACTGTACTGAGCGAGTAAAGGAGTGTTTGTTGGCCCTGCAGGCGAGTTGGCGAGTAGCGCGGTGCTGGAGGCGTGCGCGGCGGCGTGCGGCGCCACGCTGGCGTGCGGCCACGTGTGCGGCGCCACGTGCGCGCGCTGCCGCCAGCGCCGCCTGCACGCGCCCTGCACGCAGCCCTGCAACCAGGACAACATCTGCGGACACACGTAATGCACATCCATTCAATCATCGCTCCGACCATAAATAACTCTCGGTAGTAGCACGGAGTCTGGAATTGTGCCCGGTATGGCAAGCTCACCCCCTATTACATGGGACTCATAACATAAACAGTGAAAAGGGTTTGTTACATTGTACAGTGGCATTAAGTGCTAGTTAAGTAATGTTATATTATAAATAACTGTCTTTTTGAATCTTCTCAACGCAATGTGCAACCTACATATCTATAAGTACCTACCTAAATAGCAAATGATATCATAAAATAAATAGAACAAGCTACGGTGTTTACACGAGCCGTGCTTTGTTGCTTGCCGATGAAAGAAAGAAGAACGAAAAAAGAATTTTACGCTAAAAAACAAGAGACATGTACAGACGCGTCATTCTATTAGTAGGTACATTCATGTTCATTGTTCGTGTCCCAAGTCTGCTGTGAAATGGGATCAGTTCAGCATGTGCAAGACCTTGCGCTGGAATTCTATTGGCCCCTTAAGTGACTCGCGGACGAACAAGCTACCAATTAGACATCAGCAATTTGGATCAAATTAATTAACTAAATAAACATAATGATGTAACAAAATAAATACAGAGATAAAAAAGCACAACCGGGTATAGTTACCTATATTAAAAAAATTATCTACCGTAATTGATTATTAGATGCCAGGAGCCCTGTAACCAGATCTGCCCGCCGTGCAAAAGACCCTGTGAAGTAAAGTGCGCGCACTCGAAGTGTAAGAAGTTGTGCGGCGAACCGTGCACTCCTTGTAAGGTAACTAGCTCACAGTTCATTTCGTATTAGATACCACCTGATACTCCATTGTGCCTGTGTTCTGTTGGGAAACAAGATTGTAGTGCTAATTGGTCGCGGTGTCGCAGGAGGAGTGTGGGCGCGCGTGCCCGCACGGGCGGTGCGGGCGGCGCTGCGACGAGCCGTGCGAGCGCAGCGCGTGCGACGAGCGGTGCGCGCGCCGCACGCGCTGCGGACACATGTGTCGCGGCCTGTGCGGGGAGCCCTGCCCCGACATCTGCCAGATCTGTCGCCCAGAACAATTCCCTACCGACTTCCTCGGCGATGCTTACGGAGATAACGACAAGTAACATTTTTTACTCTCACGAATAAATTTCACTTTAAGCTTTCATGTGCCAACCAGATTTGATTACTTCATTGACAAGTGTCTAGTAGAATGCCTAGTGAAATTTATATCTGGATTGGTTGTTATAACACCTATTAGACCTACATATAGTTTCCTACATATCAATTACTTGGTAGGTACTTTATTACATAATGTTTTTATTTTTCAGATTTATTTTACTTGAAGATTGTGGACATGTCCTGGAGGTCGACGACATGGATAGTCTGATGCTGGGCGATCAAGAAAACATTACTATACGAACATGCCCATTTTGTCGCAAACCGATCATCAATACCAATAGATACAAAGATATCGTGAACAAAAGGTTCAAAGATGATATAAATCCTATAAAGATCCGAGTTTACGGAACAGACGATAAAATTTTGACGAAGATTAAAGAACTGCGTAGAAAAATGGCGACATGTTTTGCAAAATACGTGACAGATATTTCAAGTAAGTAGTTCTCTTTATATCTACTTATTAGGCCTTAATCAAACATTGAACATGTTCATGCGCCAAGTGTACTGCCGGGCACCAGCGGCTGTGCAACGTGTCGTCGGTTCGATTGGCGCACGAAGCAATTTTTTGTACGATCCCCAAATACCGGGTCTAAGTTTGAAGCGTGGGCATGATGTGTTCTTTCAGAATTTTCATTTTGCATTTTTGCCACCTCATATACGTGGAAAATATATTTTTTTTCAAAATGTTCATTGAAATGTGCATATTGTGCGGTGAGATCGCCGCAAAATGCCAAAACTATAAATAAAGTAAAGTATATTGTCAAAACTATAAGTTTTGGCTATAGGTAAAAAGTTGTCAAAACTATTAATATCTACAAAGAAGTCGTCGAAACTTAGATATGTATTGTGTGTATTTTACGTTCGTAGTAAATGTTTTTCTTGTAAAATGAGCCAGAAACTGGTGATAACTTCGGACAAAGCACACCAAAATTTATAAAACAGTCAATTTTTCAAAACTTACATGGAAATCATCCCAGCTAATGCCCTTTTTTTCTAACCATGGCTAGACTAAAAGTCTTTTCCAAAATAAGCAATTTTAAGATGTTTGACTGTTTCTTTGCTACTACACCTACAGGGTTTTCTAATTATTTTATTTATTTTTCAGCGGATGAAAAATTGAAAACCACATATAAAAATCTAGAAAAACTTGTGATAAAGCAGAAAAAGGTGTCACTTGTGCAAGTGGAAATGGAATGTGTATACCTCAATATATTTGAAATGATTGTTGAATGTTGGCAACAACATCGTAAACAAACAACCATTTTCGTGGACGAAATGAAGGAAAATATGAATATGCTACTAGATGCAATTGCAATTAAACCAACAACAACATTGCCAGTTAAAATAAGTGAACAACAACAAAAAGATATTAGTAATGAGATTAAACGATTGAACATCATAACACAATTCGGTAAACTTCTGAATACATGTCAGCATATGAAAAATCTACCGAAAGTGAAAGAACAAATTGAATTAACAAAAACAATAGTGTTCTCTGTATCTGTGTTTTCTGAAGATAAGGCTATAGAGTGTCTGAAAACGCTGCAAGGGATAATTAAAGTTAGTGGTGAAATCACTAAATATGAGAGACAACTTATTGTTAAAGCCATTGGTCTAAAAGCAGGTCACTGGTATAAATGCCCTAATGGGCATATCTACTGTATTGGCGAGTGTGGCGGAGCAATGCAAGAGAGTACGTGTCCGGAATGTAATGCACGTATAGGAGGCACACGCCATACCCTACTCCCTGGGAACCAGCATGCGCCTGAAATGGATGGGTCACAATTTGCAGCTTGGTCGGAACAGAACAACTTAGCAAATTTCGAACTTAACTTCTAAATCTGTTGATATTTTAATACCTATCGCCCGAATACTGAAAGGCTCAATTTTAAGCCCCGTTTGTATAGTTCTATCACTAAATTTTTTTGTAAAATGACAGAGATGACACGATATTAGAGTACAACCTATAATTGAGTAACCTTTCAGTTTCAGTATTCGGGTGTATGTCTTTGTAGTTGATACACACTTCTTTATTCAACTAGAGTTGCATAATCAAATGAATGATTTGCAGAATCAAGACAAGCTCAGCTATTTCTGCCGATTAATGCATTTGATTTCATAAGGGATTTTTAAAGTTTTGTTTTTGCATAAGTAACAATGGATAAAAATTATTAGGTACATCATAATTATTAAGGTTATTATAGTGTAGAGGCTTAGTTGGTAGCATACAGTGTTAGTTATTCGCTATTTAGAATTAGAATTTACGGAATATTAATCAATACTTACTTATATAATTCAATAAAACATTTTTATTTTACATCTTATGTTGTCTTTTCTGTAAAACCTGGATGTAAATAAGTTCCAAACTATTCTGGTTATTCAAGTACAAAGGTAGAAAGGTAAGCCAAAACCACAGATGCCTACATACCTAGTGATGTTCTTATCATAATAATGTGGAAAAACGATTTAGAATCTATCGATTATAGCGCATATTACACAACCCGATATGTAGGGCCCTGCATCCAGGGTGGGACATGCCCACCCTAGTTAGTACGGCGCTTATTACACTTCTGCGAAGGGGCCCTAACTCAGTTTATACGCGAATGTCAAATTCAAATTCTTTAAAGAGTTATACGTATTGTCACATTTTACATTATGCCGTCATCAGTATCAAAACTTCAAAAAGTTGCTGTAGCTGTGCTCGCAATGACGAATATTGACCGCCATGTCATAATACGCATGGAGTGCATCTAGCGCCAGCAAACTTTAGGTACAATTTTGCATAATGTTGTAAAATATAGTTATCGATAAACAAACTAATGAAAAAAATAAAACTTACTCATTTTTAATCAAAGGTTTATTTTCTTAAGAATTATATTAAGAACAATTAAAATAACTAAATCAACTTTAATTTTTCTTTAATACAAAATAAATACGTAAATACACATTTTATTGTTTGCTAGCTGTCTTTTTAACTGTAGGATAAATAAACAGACTAGAAAAACAAAATTTACCGATTCATTATCACTATCTGTTAAAAAAAGAAAGAAGAGAAAGATCTGGGTGAAAAAGTACCAGATCGCCCTTAATCGGGACACTAACTCCCTAAGTCTTATTACACCACTCTTAGTTAGGGTTAGGGTCCCTCGAAATTGGGTGGTCTAATAAGGCCTTAAGTATATCATCATACTTATAATAAATCTGTAGAGAGTTCAATTCTGTACATGAAATATATTTCCAAAATAACTATCAGGAGGTGATTAGTGATCGATACTAATACTAAAAATGCAATCAGTAAAATTTTTGTCTGTCTGTCTGTATGTTCCTCATAGAAACAAAAACTACTACTACGGATTTTGACGAAACTTAGCACAATTATTCTTCATACTCCTGGGGAAGTTATAGTATACTTTCCATCAATAGATTGTAGTGTGATGAAGTGAAATGAAGGAGTAGAGCAATAAGGGAAATGTCGGGAAAACGGGAACTATTTTTGTGTAACGTATAGTAACACATAGGCTTTTTACCCCTGGAAAAGCGGGCAAAGCCGCTGGCAGAAGCCAGTCTATAATATATTTATAGGTACAATCAGTTTATAATTACATCATGCCTATACGACTTTAATTTAGTTTGTTAGTTAAGCATTAACACAAGCAAAATCATGAAAAAAGGTCAAGTCACAGCCACCCAGTGAATAAAAACATTATTATTTTCAGTCTTTTATTTTATTTTGATAAATAAATTGAAAGTAACTAGTTTGAGAATGTCTTACAACGACGACGTCAATAGGGACGACGACAGAGTAGGTATGAAAATTGAAAAACTTCATTATTTACTCCATTAATTAGGTAATGAAAGAATATTAGACGAAAAATATTAAAAATAAATGTACTAGGTAGGTCAGGAGTGGAACCTCGCTACGTCATCGTTATGTGTAAAAAGGACAAAAGCATTATCATCGTAAAAATTTCGATTTCGTGAAAATAACACTAATATACTGGTAAAAAATGTCGTCATCCCTATTAGAAGTGTGATAAAAATGTTGAGTGTTTATTGAGCGTTAGGCCAGACAAGGCTTTCTATCCAGTCGAGGTAGCGGCTGACACGCGTGTAGACGCCGGGCACGGAGGACCCGCAGCCGCGACCGAATGACGTCACACCCACCAACCGGCTCATCCCATCCGGTCCCGAGCTCTGTAGCGGCCCGCCCGAGTCGCCCTGTGTACATACATCCACACTTATTATTGGGACTATTTTCACTGCCGCAAAGTCAACCCTTAAAATGGGGGTATGTCATAATCCTTGTCACCGGATCACATCATATTACCTTAGTGGCGTAGCGTGCCTCGGCCCCGTATAAAAAATTGTTTGGGGGCCCTTATGAAGGGTAAAGATTATTCATAAAATACTAATAATTTATGTGAAAATCGGAAAGCTTTCCAGGTCCCTTTGCCCAAATTATTGGACTATGATTACTTCAATTTTTCTAAAGTTTCTACCAACATTTAATCGCATGCTTTATGGAAAATTAGTTTTATTTGACTATTGTTATTACTGAAATAAAATCAAATATGGGGAAGTTTTAATATCTAAGTTTTGCTTTTGGTGGCCCCCGTAGTTCGAGGGCCCCGTTTAATTGATACGGCAGATACGGCGTATACTAGCCATAGCGCCGTACCTGCCGTATCACAGGGGCGTACCCCTGTTTTCCACAGCACTTATTACTTACCTGAATCGAGATTTATTTATAAAATTTTAATATGCATAAATCTTGGCTTTGCCTTTGAGAAATCATAAGATGTAAGTACCTAATGTAATTTCTACTATTATAATAATTACCTGACACGTGTCTCTTATGCCTTCGGGATCCCCAGCACACATTTGTTCGGGTGATATTCCCGACGGCAGTTTCCGCCAATTGGTGTAAGATTCGTTACATTTACTGCGACCCACAGTAGTTACATTCGTTTTTAATAGCAAGTTACTCCTCGTGTCTCCTGTAATAATAACAAAAAGTTTTTTTTATTACTATTAACAGGTATACTGTCAACATGGTCGATATTAGCGGATTTATCCTTACTAATATTATAAATCGGAAAGTGAGTTTGTTTGTTCGATTGTTCCACTTTCACGCTGTAACTACTAAACCGACTGCTTTGATTTTTTGCAGACGCAAAGTTAGAAGTCCAGATTAAATAATAGGGTACTTTTTATCCCAGAAAAAATTGATATTCCCGAGGGAAAATAAAAGTATTGGTATAGATGGCGGTGTGTGTATTGGTATATGTCACATAGGCTACTTTTATCCTTTTGTGACGCGAGCGAAGCCGCGGGTAAAAGCTAGTCTTTAATAATTATTAGTTGACAGTTAAACTCTTAATTCGATTATGTTATACAATCACCATCATTTTAAAGCCATCCTGTTTGAATGATGATCCATGAAGAGCAGGTAGCAATGTCGACGCTTGTCAGGCGGCGTGAGAGTCACAGTTAGTTATCGACCATTATTTGGATGACAAATTAGAATTATAAGCAAGAATTAAATTGAACGCAGCGGTAGAACAATAAATTGTGTAGATAATTTCATAATTATTAAAATTTTATCGTATCTTTTAAGCAATAATTATATTATGTGTAGGTAGGTACTCTCTAACATTATTTAGACATCACTGACACTGACAAACGGTGAAGGAAAACATCGTGAGGAAACCTGGGTTTATAATATCCAATCATAAGTTTGAAATCGCCAACCCGCATTGAGCAAGCGTGGTTATTAACTTATTAATGCTCAAATCTTCTCCGTGCGCGTTGTTTTGGTCAACAGTGGCCACTTATGGCCTGTTGGTGTACCTAATGTGATGAGTGACGCTATTTGTGTATATTTAAGTAGGTATGTTTTTTTTATATACATAATACACATTTAAACTGTCAAACACCAAGCGGTCACCGGTGACCGCGACCTATTGTTCTTTAATTGTGTCTATAAAACCGGTACTCGACGAGTTAATAACCCGGAATTGTGCCCGGTATATGGCAATAGGCTCACCTCCTATTGCATGGGACTCATAACATAAATAGTGAAAAGTGGGTGTTACATTGTACAGTGGTATAATGTGCACCTCTGCCTACCCCTTCGGGGATAGAATGCGTGATGTTATGTTAGATTTAATAACAAACGTTGTTTTTATGTACCTACAATGCAACATAATCTCTTTCGAGATTTTCTGTGCATCGGAAGTTGCCTTCTCACTTATCTCTAATTTAACACAATAGGTACATCTAATTACTTAATTACATCCATAAAGAACAAATTGCTTCCATGGCCGCAATCGGAACAACATTCAATAACTGGTGCGCTGCGGTGACGTCACGACATAACCCGCTCGATGCATTCAAAGTAAGTACCTACCTTGCCTGCATCAAGCGCTCACGACCAGAGGTCTAACCCATACAAAAGAATCATCCCGTATCTTAGTTTTGCACGAGTAATCTGAACCGGTTCTAAGGCCTTAGTACAAGCTTCTTTTTCGTTTAAAGTAATCGAAACGAGACGGCGTCCGGCCCTCTGATTGGTTGGTCCATTGGAGCCGGCCAATCACAGCGCCGAACGCGTACTCGTTTCGATTACTTTCAACGTAAAAGAAACTCGTACTAAGGCCTCTGAATCGGCACCAATGAATCAACCAATCAGAGCGCCGAACGCGCTCGATACTATAAAGTTACGAATGCGATAGTAATTCGTGCTTGACACTCTGTGCTCTGGTTGGTTTGTTCATTGGAGCCGGCCGGACCGGCCAATCACAGCGCCGAACGTGTACTCGTTACGTTTACTTTAAACGTAAAGGAAACTCGTATTAAGGCCTCAGATCCGGTTCAGATTACTCGTGCAAAACTAAGATACGGGATGATTCTTTTGTATGGGTTAGATCTAATGACCCACACAATTTACAAGCTCGTCACTTACTTGTATTACTAGTTTTTCCCCATCCGGTAATGGTGAGGGGTATTTTAGGATCTTCCTGACTTGTCTCCAAGCAAACTGCATTTAAGTTACTGGAGAACTGCAAAGGTGTTTCTAATCTGAAAAGATACAATATCTTTCAAGGGCTCTCTAGTATGTATGTTTCATTGCGTTTCAATATTGATATTACCTTTATGTCCACAGCATAATGGACAATTGGGTAGTTTCCAGGTTATCAAAATTAAAAATCTAATTAGTCCATCAGATACATAATGAAAAAATATTAGACACGTATTTTTTATTTTCTCGTATTACGTTGCAATACTCAGATAAAGTGCCACGTTACGGCGTTACGTCATATCGTGCTACAAAATGTGGCACGCTGTGACGTCACACGATATTTAAAATTAATATATCGTCGAAAGTATTTAATTTTGTGAGAAAAGAAAAAATACGTGTCTAAAGTTTTAAATTAATGTACCAGACGGATATTAAAATAAAATTTAGGAAACTACCCTAATGACAAAGAAAACTGAAGAACTACAAATTTATTTTCTAATAATTATTTAAAAAATTAGATAGACGCTTGCATCAGAAGAGTATGGAAGACGATTTTGATGAAAAACTATAATTAAATAACGACAATAACAGGTCTCTATACAGGCATCTGCATAGCTGACCCAAGTACACACATTGATAGGAAATAATTCAACACACAAACATGTTTTCCTAAATGCCCATTGTACAGGCATGAGAACGCAAAATATAATAATAATAATATAATATTCGTACCTTTTATTATTTTGAATTCTATAAACAAACAATAAAGTTTAAAATCCAATAATGTGATATGACTACAACTCGACGTTTTGATGTAAAACATTAAATTGATATGTGTTTATATAGTAATGTTCTTAAAAAACATTTACCTTAATAAAGCTAAATCGTGATATTTTTCTTTTCTACTATATCTTGGATTTAATATTATTTCGGCTATTCTGGCATCTGTGTCTGGATCGAACTCCTTACCACCGATTTCTACAACACCTCCGCGAATTATGGACGGTTGGATCCTGAAATATAAAGTCAAAAATTATATTTATAAGTATATCAAGATTCCTCTAGTGTTTTAAGGGGGGAAAATTATCGAATGACTTCTTCCGCCTGGGTGAGGTGGGAGGGAGTGTCAGACTCTTACTGATTATTCCTCTTCCTTTCTTAATTGAATATTCCTCTAGTGTTGCAGGAACACCCAATACCTTCTTTGTTGTCCTCAAGGTTATTTTCTTTTTCCGTCTCCTTGACCATATATTATATTAAATATAATATAATTCATTTTAAGACCCTATACCCTTAGTTATGTATTATCGACTATAACAATCATGTCTTCCCTCTTTAATATTTTATTACCTTAACTTCGTTATCTACTGCATACTTTCTTTTTACAATTTTGCACCTCGGTAGGTGAAAAATTGTCGTTAAAGTTGTGTTGTTAAAGCGGTCTTTAACATTCTGCAAGACCCAATGGTCGACTGTCAGAAAATGCCTACGGCATTAAGTCCGCCAATTTGACTGTATGTGCAATAAAGTTTTAATAAATAAATAAATAAATATTGGTATTACATTGTTCTCACATAATTGAACTCAACGAAAGAATGTAACCAAAAATTGTATTATGAACATGATTGAAAAAGAGTAACCTATGGACTTTCTTGCAGAGAGCAAATAGCTTCACTAGAGTACTGACCTACAGACTGACATTTTTTTATTATTTAATATTTAAATATTTTGTTTTGACGTTCAAAAGTGTCTTCCTGGTCTAATTGAAATAAATGATTTTGACTTTGATCAGAGATTATATTTGCTCGTTTGCGCCGAATCCCAAAAAAATGAAGTCAGATGTTTACCTATCTAAAGTATCCACGCAATGTGCAGCACTCAGGACGTAAGTATGTGACAGCACTGAACCTCCACAATCAAACTCATAGCCATTCCCTCGGTCGTATCCCAGGGCCACCTGGAATAAAAATTCTTTACTTGACACAAGTAACACATAAATAAACCGAAGAATAATATAAACATATAATATTATTATTATATGTAGGTACTCTAATTCCGAATGTACTTAAAGGTAGTTTCATAAGTAAAAAATAATTGTTTCGACTTTGCAAAACAATAAAATATTACAAAATTAACCAGTAAATTGATTTGACGATATAGCATAGGTACTTAATTTTCCTCTTTGCCGCATGTTTATTACGGTCCGTGAGATACAGTTGGGGACAGACAGACGGCGCAAAGCCTTAAGGGTCTCATTTTTATCATTTGGGTACGGAACCGTAAAGAATGTCGTTTGTTGAATTAAAGACAACACAAGCTAATAATTTAATACTAAAATTATGTGCTGTTTTTCCAAATACCTACAGATATTATTCTGTGAGTTTTAAGAGCCAAACAAGATAAAATTTTCCGTTGGTCATTTACCTTATGGTTACCTACGCAATGAGGTCAAAATCGCTAGAATAAAATATAGGTATATATTAAAGTTTGTAATATTTAATTTGTTATTTATTTTATTTTAAAAATATCGTCTTACGTCAAAAGTTCATTAGTAAAATATACTGGGTTACATTACAGAGCACTTTAGTATTGAAACCAATGAATAACTTAAAATAGGATATTATAGTTAAGTCAATATCTCCAGTCACTGAGTGAGCATGCTATATAATTACATACATAATAGTTAGGTACATTGCAAACGAGGTTTAATAAACAAAAACAGCAGCTCAGTGCGAATCGACTATCACGCCATGAACTTTGACTGACAGATAATATAAAGATACAAACATAATTATGTTAATCGAACAATAATGTAACTTACGGATTGCAAAAGTCCTATCTATCCTACTTATGCACTGCAAAGGCAATGTGACCAATACTTTTTCCTACAGATAGTTTTCGCCATGACTTTCTACATGCACAAAAATTATTCCCGTTTTTTTCCGTTCCCGTTAGAATTTCCAGATATCCTCTTTTAGTACTTCCCTACATTTCTTAAGGAAAATGAGTATATGCGAAGTTCTAGCTTCCTACGTCCAGTAGTTGTTACTTGCTGAGCTGAGCTCACTTAGTAACGGAAGAAATACCTAAATAAGTAATTTGACAAAGAGAGCCTAGAGATTAAGAATGGCAAATACCTGAAAATACTCAGCTGGCGTAGTTTAGTATTTTGCTTTTACTTAAGCTATAATTATCGTGAGATAGGTATTATTAACAGATTAGTCGTATGACTTCAAACTGTTCGAGATTGCTCGACAAGTTTCAAGCTACAACCGGGACTTGTAATCATGAAGACGTGTCGCATCATTAGCCATTCTGAACTTAAAGTTATTCCATATTTTTAAATTCAACACTGCTGTAGATATTCAACACCGTAGACTCGATGTTCTAAGACCTTCGCAATTAGATTTGGACGTACGAAATAGTAACCGACGAAAAAACGTAGGGAGTAAACACGAAATTTGTAATAGGTAGTTTCATAATTGTTTATCAAAGGTATTTTCCGAGCGTACGGCGCGTGGCGTTCCGCGCCCGCCTAAGGAGCCAGCAGACCCCCACAGATGGGGCCCAATAGGGCTGATGCTGATACGGAGCTGCGGAAGACTTAACGGGTTGTCGGTGCTCCGGCTCGAAGTGCAGGAGTAGGAACGGGGTGGTGTTTAATTTTTAATCAGTAGGAGTCTGACACTACCTCTCGCCTCACACGGGCGGGAGAAGTCATTGGATGATTTTCCCCCCTCAAAAACAGGTTGTAGGTATTTACAAGTCTATACATTTTATTTATCGTTCAATATTGAACAATCCCAGTATATAGGTATTTCATGTAGAGACAATAAATACAGAAATGAATAAACAAGTAAAGTATCAAATTAACATAAATTTGAACAGGTAACTTATCACAATAAATGTCAAGTGAAGTAATAAAATCCCTCATTAACACTTTACCACAATTGATTTAAATGAAGTAAATAGAAATGAGTAATTACAAGCTAGTTCATAGAACTGTTCATCATTAAAAAAACCCAAATGGCCAAGTTACAGGCGTGAGGCGTCACTATTATTTCCAATTAGATTTTATATAATTTTTATAAGAAACAAGTTCTTTGAAGTAATGATGAATTTGTAATTATATCTACAGAATTATACCTATACAAGAAAATGATAAAAAAATGCATGAGGAAAAATGTTTACTTACCATATGTGGAAATTCCCCTAATGATGCAGTTTCACCACCCAAAATATGTAAATCTAATGGTGGTATGCTGGAATCTTTGATTTTTTGGCATTCTAGAAAAAAAAAATTGTTACATTTGAATTATTCCTTTAATATTTCCAATCAGAGAACAATTAAAGTTTTTTTACTAAATCTACTAAGAACCTTATCATAATTTACATTCTACCCTTTAGAAGCTTCAAGCAGATATGTTATTGAAATACTAAATAACTATTGAAGGTAATTTCAGTAATTAACAGGCCTCACCTCTATCAGCTATTCTTTCTGTTGTTATCCTTGCATCATCTCCTCCTTTAAAATAAACAGATCAATAAAATATTCAGTTTTAATGGTAATGTCATAAAGACCAATAATTGTAAAAATGTATACAGTGTGAATCTCACCAAATTTTGTTGTAGTCCGAGGACAACATACCACTTCTTCAAACCCACTGAAACCACATCTACTAAATTCATGAAATCTCTTGTTTGTTATTGCTCTGGAAATATAGGGAAGGTTTATTTAAATACTTAATCTGATGGTTTTAAAAGTGGAGGTGATAAGGTTAAACCCTGGATGGTTTTATAAGACTCACACAATGGCTGCTTCACATTTAGAAACTTGCATGCAAACACCTTCCATTGACTGATTTGATGTACAGGTTTCACCCACTGTGTAAGAAATAATTTATTACATAGCATGAAATCAATTGACATCTCATTAAATACATAATTGAATATTGAACAACTGAACTTTTAATGGCACATCATTAAAAACATGATTGAACACATTTACAATTCAGCTTGGCCATTTCAAATACAATAATTTAAATAATGTATATACAAATAAATTAAGTACAATAGTAATACAATCATTATCATAATTAAAATTTGATACTTATTTTAATTAACATCTACTAGTTACTTACATTATTATGCAGATTATTTATAAAAAAAACATTTAATAATGCTTTAGAAAAAAAAATACACATAACTTATGATATACACAATAGCAGATGATTAGCGTAACAAGATGAAGACGCTTAATGTTTGTATACCCCTCTTCAAAACGAACAAATAAAAAAATAAAACAATAGGTAGGTAGGTACTAAATATTCCTTACCATCTTCTGAGATCACAAAGTTTAGCAATATTATATTTAAAACAGTCAATAACTTCCACATTGTTAGTTTTAATATTACACTAAAATATTATCCTTCGCGCTGGCACAAACAGTCTTCTTGTTGAAGTTGAAAACCGGTTTACTTTTTTGAAATACCACTTTTCCTTATACAAAAATAATAGTCTTAAAATATAATTTTCAACGTCTCATGCTTAAATAAAATTACTTTATTTGTAGCTAAATTGAACGATACTAAAAAAAGAGATTACATTAATTATTTTTTAAATACAACCGGTCAAACGTAAAGGACTAAACTACAACTTTATACGGTGCCAATTTTGCCAATGCTATACCAAAACGTAAATTGACGTAACCCAACAAACTTAAGCACCGTTTACATTGTTCCTATCTGCATAAACCACTACCGCAAGCCGGAAAAACTTTATATACCTATAGAGGCGTTTTTGAAAAATTCAAAGACATCAGAGTTATGCGCGGGTTTTTGTGCTTCACACACCAGTTACACACCATACCACACTATTTGAATTTGAATATTGATCTAAGTGATTAGGAAGTCCGATATTTAGTTTCAGAGCCATTCCGTGCCGTGGCCGTGGTAGTCGATTTCCGGCTAATTAGGAATAATGTGAACGGGCCTTAGGTCTTTCCTCTAAATTTTTGACATAGACGTTTGATGTCATTTTGACCACAGACCTACTATAATATGGACCAGAAATACCTACAAAATACGCGTGCATACCTACTAGAAACCGCGGCCTAAAAATGGCTGCCATTGCTAGGGAAGTACTGTAGTCAAAACCAAAAAGTATCGATATCGATAGCAGAGTTTTATACATTAAAAATCTTCTGGTCCTTTGAATTTTTTTTTAAAGGTACAAATCATCGAATGTCTTCAAGCCACTTCTGACGCAGCACTTCATTTTTAGGGAATTTGTGGAAATAAAAAAAAACATAAAAATTATTTCAGTTTTGTACATTTAGTGGTACAAATCATAGACTGAACTAAATGAAAGTACCTACTGTATGAAGAATTGATATTATTATGTTATGGTACTATCCCTATTTTTATTTCTATTCTGTAAGATTTATTTTCAAAATGGTCTCTTCAGACCCTTTATTTTGATACTCTACTCTACTGGACTCCATAACATACAAACTAAAAATATGTTAGTTTCTTATCGATATGTTATTAAATAAAATACATCACTATTTGTAAATCGTCATTTGTATTGTAAACAAAACTTAAACAAATTTAGCAAATGAAGTTAGTTATCATAAACAAATTTAATGTACATTTGGGGGCTTTTATTCTATATATAAAACAAGGCTAGATAAACAAGAAAACTAATAGTATGATAAAGTTTTTTCTTAAAATACGGCTACTAACCTGTGCATAGTCAAATGAGGTTGATTGGGGTTTTTCCTTGCCCCACACTGAATTATTGAACAAGTAGACATATTAAATATGCACCACTAGACACTCACAGCACAAAACAAATAAGTTGGGAGCGTTTTTATTGTTAAAAATCGCAATCCAAATCTAATGTTTTTGTTTGCTTGACACCTGATGTACTACAAAACTATGCGGCCTAAAGATGGCGGCTGGCACGCGAGGTAGGTACCTTGTCAGAAATGTAGAAATGTTGCCAGGCAGAGAATAAACAAACAACATGACGTCTCTTTCTTCAAATGAGGAAACTCATTGATTAAAAAGAGACAAAGTGTGGTTTCATATTTCTATATCGATTTGATATATATTTGTATAAGCAAATAAGCTATAGATCATTACTTCTGGTCCATATTATAGTAGGTCTGTGATTTTGACACATTAAAAAGTTTTGACATTTGTTGACATGCCAAATTATAGTTGCCATTGTTAAAAATAAATAGTCCAGAAGGTGGAAACAAAGAGCTGTTCCGTGCGGAATCGAATTCGCGACACATTGTGCGGCAGCCGGTTGCCCAGCCACCGTGCCAACCGTGCAGACAGTGCAGTGTTATTGTGATATCATGTTATTTACGTAATAAAAATAAAATGGGCTAGGATTTTTATTTGTGTTGCTTGTTGAGTCTGTTCACTAGAATAACAAATAAACAAATATATGAAAACTAAACGCAGAAAATAAAATTTTAATATATAAGTATATGTAAAAAATTGGTATCTATGAGTGATTTTTCAATTTTTTTCATTTTAATTTTTATTTAAAAATAAATCGTTATAAATCGACTAAAATATAGAAAGACCTTGTGTTGTTTAGTTTTTCCTCGGTTTATTATTTCGTTTGCAACATTTATGAGATGGAATGTGTCAAACTGTAGCAATACTGAGTTGCCTGTTGTGATTGTGATTGATAGTCCGTAATCCAAGTCCAATTGAATCGTACATATATACAAAGTCGGAAATACAACAAATACTTATCTTGTGCTTTAACAGAACTTATACTTTGTTGTGAAGTGAAAGTGAATACTAACTTATAAATTACAATAGTGAAATACAGTGGACAACATGTTTATAAGCGTATATTTACGATTTCATTATCTACGTAAGGTTATTGGATTGTAATGATACCAACAAGGACGTAGTTTTGCGAGCAGCAATATCAGTCGCAGGAATATGACATCTTCAGGTGGACCAAGTACACATCTTGGAATGCATTCCACCATGGCGAGCCAGATAGGCATACGTGCCCCGCCGTCGGACTTTGGCTTAACAGTGGGTGTGCCAGCGCCGACGATGGGTTATGAGATCCAAGCTACCCATAGCGGTGATTCTTCTTCTGATTCACAATCTCCTGGTATGCCCACAGCCAAAGCTAGTGATCGGGAATCCCGTATTATAGCAGAAAAACAACGTCGAAGTCAATATAACACCCAAATAGGTCTGATAATGTCCTTGTTGTCTGACATAGTGCACTCGCAACGTAAGGTTGATAAGACGAGTGTGTTGAGACTCGCCGCCAACAAGCTCCGCAACGAGCATGTGTTCGGTGATACAATCAAATGTGGCCATATAGAGACATGGTCTTCTTCGTTCTTAAAGTTTTTTGACTTGTTTGGGGGTGTTATGTTTGGTGTCACATGCCGTGGACGTTTGTTCATCGTATCCCCAAATGTTCAAGAAAAATTGGGATATTGTCATATAGATCTCCTTGGCCAAGACATGTATACCTATGTTCATCCAGATGATAAAGAAACTCTTCGCCATCATATCTATCCTCAAGAACTCCAAACAAGCTGTGACAGCAGACTATTTGAACATCACCATAATTTCCATATCCGCATTATGAGGGCTGGTGCTCGGTCAGATCCTGCTAGATACGAACGCTGCCGCATAGATGGTATTTTGAGACGCTCTGACAAAGCAACATCTAATGGTGTGCAAGATGAGCAAATCATTAGAAGGCAAAGAGTTAGAACCAACAGAACATTTTCATCCAGTGGAAATGATGTAGTTTTCATTGGCATGATTCATGTATTGTCTAGTTCTATGCCAGCTCGGATTCTGCCCCCAACAGCTTATTCTGAATACTGGACAAGACATTTGATTGATGGCCGCATAGTACAGTGTGACCAGAGTATATCACTAGCTATTGGCTACATGACAGAAGAAGTAACTGGAACATCGGCTTTTGTATTTATGCATAAAGATGATGTCCGCTGGGTCATTTGTGTATTACGTCAAATGTATGATGAAAGTAGAGAATTTGGTGAATCTTACTACCGACTCATGTCACGTTCTGGACATTTTATATACATGAGAACACGAGGATTTTTGGAAATAGATAGAGCCACAAAGAAAGTACAGAGTTTTGTTTGTGTCAATAGTGTCATTGGAGAAGATTATGGTTGTCGAATGATGGAAGAAATGAAGAGAAAATATTCTGTTATAATTGATGTAGAAAAACAACAAGCTGAAGTGGCAGCCAATGATGATGTCCCGGTAGAACATCCTAAGCGTTTAGAACGCATTGTTATGCATCTTGTTGAGCCATCAGTTAATGAAAACATAGATGAGCTGCAACTAGTACCTCCTTCGAAAGAAAACATAATTTCTGCAATTCAGAATAGTGAAAAAGTTGTCCAGGAGACAGGAGTGAGGTTTGACTCAAGGAAAAGAAGGAAGGTAGATTGTGATGACACTAGTGAATATTTAAAGAGACACAGTGGACTGCAAGATGTTAATGAAGTAGATCTGTAACTGGTGAATAAGCTTTGTGATGTCTGTTCCTAAGATTGTTAGTTAAGTTTTCAAAATGAAGTAGATGGTATATTTGACCAAATGTTTCAGAATTAAAACATTAATAGTGTAGTTGTAATAGTAAGTGAACATTGACGCAGCGGACTGAGCATGGGTAAGTCCCACTGTGTGGGCAGACTTCATTGACTAAAGGTTATTATTATATAAAATCCCGAAAGACTGTGCCCGCTGAGGCAATTAACTAAAACAAGTAATACAGAACAGAATGACCAGTTAATAGTGTAGGTATTTTACTCAACAGCTAAACAAGTAAAATAGGTAGATTCTCCATTCATTGCATGTTCTGAAGTTCAGGTATGAAATGGTAATTCACTGTTCCTATGAGTACTTAATAATAGTGATTGGGAAACTGGGCTACATTTAGCTAGTGATTTATCATTAGAAACCTATTATGATATTGTGTACCTACTTGGTTAAAAATGCAGACTTTACAAATGTTCGAAAATAAACTAACTACCTAAAAGTTGCACCATTGAGTAAATAGCTAAACTTTGCAATGGATTAAAATTTCTATTAACGTGGTGATTACCAGAATATGAATTAAGCGAACTAGAGATCGAGTTCTGTAGCATAGATTTGAATGTAGTTAACTATCTAATAACCCCAAAATCAATTTTTTATGTAAATGCTTGTGGCGGGTGGTGGCGTCAGTATGAAATATTCTGTGAGGGACCATAAGGGGAAAAGCTCAATAAGGTTTTGTTTTTGTTGAAGAAGGATAATTGCTATTATATTAATTATTATATCGTGTAACATGTAGGTAAAATACAACCTGGATAAACTAAATGAACGCGTGCACGACAAACGCGCAGGTGCACTGGCTACCCACCTTTATGGTCACGCGTTGACTACCTATGTTGTTACTTCAAAACGTTCACTATAAATGTTTAAAATTCTTGTAATGTTAGATGAATGTCTATTGTGAATAGTGCCTGGCTCCAGTGCGTCTACATGTACCTATAGTACCTACTGGTAGGTATGTCTGTATATTCGTTAACACTTTCTTCCTTCTTGGTAGGTGTTTTAGTTGGTGTTAACTAAATACTTCGCTAGTTACAAAACTAAATAAGACGAAGAATAATGCGTTAGTTAAAAACCGGTAACTACGTCACCGTTCCGAAGTTTTATTAAAATATGATGGCTAATGTTCCGAATTATGTTGGACCATGGATCTAAGGAGATTGCACATCTGGTGACTATTATGATGTCAATTTGTGGCTTATTTACATATCATTGTATAGCAGTGTGGGCCTACTGAAAATGTTGCCAGTTGCAATTGGCAACTAAATGCCCTGAAGGTTGTTGATATTGAAAATGTAAGTAATCTATAAAAATGACTGATTACAAGGAGAAATTCACAAATCTGATAAGTTTTGTTTAAAACCTGATAATTATTGTACTCTCGATTATACTCGACTTTGGTATTAAAGACGTAGTATCGTGGTATAAGTCGAATCAATTTAAAATTAACAAACCTTCCGAAAACTGCTTTATAAGTTAAATAATAACAATTTATTTCAAATTGATAACAGTAAACCTGGCATAAAAGCAAAGTGTATTGATGAAGGTCAATTATAATCAGATATATCGTGGATTTCTTTTGTCATGGGACTTATTTGATATTTTATTTTTCAAATTGTACAAGGTCATTGCTAGATTAAATTCGGTGTATTTAAGACATTTGGGTGCGAGTTGCGAGTCGAGTTGGTGTAGCTACAGTGGGGTTATTACATATTTTTGGTTCTGAAGTTTCGACATAAACCTTAATAAGATGTTTTTTGCGAGTTCTGTGGAACGAACGATTTCCTTTTTACCCTAATAGAATCGTTACCAAAGCAATCCGGTATTGTACCAGCGTTTTTGCCTTGTGCAGCATTGAGGATCGATCGATGAGTTTTATCAAGGGCCAAGGGCAATTCGGCTGTCCTTATTGACCTATCGTAATAGACAAAAGTTATGTAAATACAAGAATTTACTCTAAGCTACATTTTTGCTGTATGTGTAAGTCGTTTGTTCACAGAATTTACAAGAAATAAAAGGAGTGTTTACAATTAAATGTGTGTTAGATTACTGACACCGTAGTATCAATGAATCTATTTGTAGTGTTAATAATCTGTCCGTTTAAAAACTGAAATGTTTGTCACTAATGATAGAATTTTTGTTTACTTTACGCATTGCGAAAGTACCTTTCTGATATGTTTTTGCAGGAACTGTTAACAGCTGAGATTAATAAACCAAAACCTTAATCCAAAGTGTCTGCACCGATCTTGGTTTTTGACAAAAATAAAAAATCGATCTCAAACTCTTTGAGTACCGTCATTATAGACACAATTAAAGAACAATAGGTTGCGGTCACCGGTTTCCTCGCGGTGTTCGACAGATTTAAAAATCTTTGGTTCGGATTGGTTATTGATTTTGGCTGTAAGTATAAATTGGCCACATTTTGTCGTCCACTGATCTATTGTTTTATGGACTGTTGATAGTTAATCTGGCATAACGTAGGATAAAATTTGGAAGACGTAACTATGTGACATGTGACCGGCCATTTGTTAGAATTGGAAACTATTATGCCATCCACATAATTAGGACAAAAACAAAATTGATGATAAACTAACTACGTTTAAATGTGCCAAAACGTATGAATAGTACCTAGCTAAATAATGATATTAAAATTATCGCCAATTAACTTTAAATACTTATTGTACCTTTTTAAATATTAAATGTTAAATTAATTTTGTTTTTGTTACAAGTTATTTGTTTTTTCCCGATATTAACAATTGTTTATTTACTATAATTAACATCTCTTAATATTTTAATATGTCTAGGCAAACAATTACGACACTATAATGAAATAACGTTTACGTGTAGGTCGCACACTTTCTGTGTATACAGTATATCATGTGAATGCTCTAATAATTTGGATCTTTGCAGTACCTTAAGTACAAATAGTTATTTAAACAATAAACTCATTCAAAACGTTTGAGCTGAATAAATAAAGAAACGCCACCACTTTAAAATGAAAGTACAGTAAGAAGTGTGTCGGATGAAATCATTAATAGAACAAACATTTTTTGTAAATTATTTTGGGATTTAATAACCCTGAACCGTTTCAAACATGCGGTTGGCGATGCAAGAAGAAGAGTTTTGTTAAAAAGTTTACAAAGAGACTGGTGAAACGTATCAATCATTAAAAACGTTGAATCATTCTTTGTTAGTAACATATTACTATATCAAGTAGAGCATGGATACTGACAATGTCCCGGAGACGACTTCATAGATTTTGTTTTGTTTGATGTTTTAACATTAATGGTTAAAAGTTTTGTGTTTTGCTTTCATTTGCAGCTAACTACATCATTTTCTATTTTTATTTGTTCATTGATTGTTCAATTTATTTAATTAATTGATAAATGTCTTATATTAGGTACTTAAATAATGAAATATTCAAGTTCAGTGGTCAGTCAGAATAAAATACATCGACAATACATGTTTCAATAGGATACAAGTTACGCCTCAAGCAGGGTACTGTTTACATAATTGTGAAGAAATTTATAAATTGTAGGGTTGTGGATCGATAGCGCGATGTTACGTTACGGTAATGACCAAGTATTTGAATGTATTTTATAGATAGGGACATAGAAACCAGAATTAAAGGTTGGTCGTCTAATGATAGGTAACAGGGATGAAATATTAATTTTACCTTACTAGAACGTAACTAATCAATAAAAGATTTTTTGCCAATGTTATTGCCAACTGAATCAACTTAGACGCAAGAAGTATAAGCAGTTGTGTAAACGATGAGGAGGATTTGAGTGTGTTCAATACAGTTGGAGGCTATTCAGAATTAAATAATATCAACGTACGTGCATAGTCCATGAAAGTTTTAAAAATGTGTATTATAATATCGTTTAATGACTACGAAACTAACTGAACTCCTATGACTGAATGAAAATAACTGAATTCGGTTGTTCAAAAGTCCCCAGAAATTAATAACGTGACATAAATGAAGAGTGGCGTCATTCGTGATTTCCTCGAACTAATTCGAGCTTGTTACATGATCCATTGATTAGCTACCTGCCTCTGCCTCTTGGCATTTCACGTGTACATACTTTAGTACCTATATCATACATACATTTGGGTAGATGTCTAATTTAATGTATATAAATAAGTTTAGAGTGACTCAAAGTGTTTTCTTTTTCATTTATAACTATAATATTATAGATTATAATGTTGTTGTCAATGAATAAACGTTAAGTGATCTAAATGTCTGTTGTATCGATGTTTAAAAATATCGTAGCCAGTTAATGATTTCGAAATGACATACTTCTAGCTTGTTATGAAAAAATGTACAGTTCGATTTTTTGCTTAACCTTATACTTTTTTTTTGTAAAACATGTTTAGAAAAAAAAAAATCATTATTATATTCCATAGAGTAACAATAATGTAACGTTATGATAGGTGACTATTAAATAATTTTATGTGTATACGTAATAGTTTTAGCTAATTTCAGCTACCTATGTTAAAATAAACAGAACCTACGATTAAATAGTATTCTGTATATCTAAATTTTTCCATGTCTCTGCAATTTCATAATAATGTTAGTTCAAAATAATCATTTTCATAATAACTTATTGTAAATAATGCGCCTTCAATAAATGTTTTACATTTCATAATTAGGTACTCCTGTTGTCAAACCAAATTAAAAGTAAGCTATAGATAGGATAAGTTTACATACTTCGAAGTGTTTAGGTATACCTACCATACAATTACATACTTAGTTATATTTTAGTGAGGTATTAAATTTTTCTATGTACGTATTGTATAACCGTTGATGTGCAGTATGGCAGTATGCACCCCGCTCTACTCGTGTGAAATAGGATATGGACGTTATCTTTACTTTTAAAAAGTTGTTAACTAAAGCATAGTAAGAAAATTAACCGTCT